AGCATAGTGCCCAGACTATCCATATAAAAAGTTCCAGTCCTTGAGGAGCAGTGAGCTCGAAAAAATCTAGATGCGACTCTCGCAAATTTAGATGCGATCCTAAAAAGCAAAAACTGGGATTTTTGAGCTTAAAATTTTGTAACTTGCCAGAGAAGTTATGAAACAGCCTGCAATTTTTATGAGGGAAAATAGGAGGATGACCTTATATTACGGCAAAATTGCAGCCAACAAGCTTCGATAGCTCCGAAGAAATTTAGATGCGACCTAGATACGACCCCCTTTACTTCAGTTCTAGTCGGCTTACAAAAATTTATTAAAAAATGCGCAGATTACGGAATATAAACAGATTTTGTATAAATGTAGCAGAGCATCTCCAAAGTGCACATTAATTGTAGGGGCCCGTGAAAAGCATTACAAAAAGATTCAAAAATTATTGAAGATCATCGTTGGTGAAAATATTCGTTTTTGTCGAGTGTGTGAGACTTCAGGGAGACTCCGAAAGCAAGATTTCTAAGCCAGTTAGAACATTTCGAATTTTTATCAAGTCTTGCATCCTTCAAAAGTGTTTTGAGCTCTTGAAATTTTTTTTTTGAGAATTTCTGAAAAAATTTTTATCCTTACTATGCTTATTTCTACCTTTTTTTGAATTTATTGTAAAGAACATGTACTAATTATCTGCTTTTTACTTCCTTTTGAGCTTACACTTTTCATCCAAACTACTTCCTCTTACGACCCCTTCCCCACCTTAGTTGCCCACTTTACGACCCAATGTTGCGACTGTTGCATCACACGCTTGACCCTGATCTTCATACATACAGTCACTGTTGCGGGAATTTTTTTCGATCTTTACATCTTTCATGGTCACTGGTTGTTTCAGTTCATGCCGCCTTTTTAAATTTTCAGAAAACACGTGATTTAGTGGCAAACAAACCTTTCGAACAATTTTTGACACAGTTTTTATTTTTTTCCCCAGCAGATATGCTCTCATTCTGATTCCTCTCCTGGAAAAGCAGATGATCGGCAAAGTTGAGCACACATCGTTTGCCCAAATTTAGCAAATTTTTAAAAATTTTCAGATTTTTCTCTCAGCATCATATTCTTTCAACGTAACTAACTACACCGTGACAGTCTATTTGAACCTCTAGGTCTCCGAATGCTAACGGGCGAATATTAATTATCCCATAACTCCATTCGACAAAACCGCATTCTTGATTTTTTATTTCATGCCCCATTTACTATTCAGTTTGTAGACCAAAACATGCTTCACTTGATGGTTCCGAGATATTAGCAACATTCGCTTCACAGGAAATTCAAAGCCAAAGGCTTTGATTTCATATCGAAGTCGGATCGTGATCGCTCAAAAATTTACGGATCTTTTTCTTGTTCACGTATATTCTGTTCACATCAGACATTCATGTTACATGTTTTTTTTTTCGTGGCCAACAAGAAAGCAAAAAATGCAGCGATCCAGCAATCCTGACTTTCTTTATAAGCTATTCTTTATCTTAACATTGAAAGTATATTATATTTTTTCGCCTTTAATCTATTTTTTGAAAAGATAGATTTTATAGAATTCTTCAAATTTGCTTAAAAAATGAACCAAAAAGTAATAATCTCTACTTCCTAGTAATATTAGAGCAACACAACATTTGATTTGACCTTAAATAATCTCAAAAAAATGAGTTCAATAATATATCGAATCGCTCCCAATACCGAAAGTGCATTGGAATCATGCTCTTTTCTATTAACTGTATTTGGAGCATTTCTACTTTTCACCGTGTTTTTCGTTAGAATAGCTTCGCCAAGATTTTTAAAATGTGCCTTTTAAGTCGAGTTTTTTCTCATTTTACTCAACAGTAGTCAAGAGTGAAGCTGCTCCCAAGCTTCCGCTTCCAAAATATTCCCTCAACATCTTCACGTTTGTACATGAAACAAGGAACATATAGAAAGTTTCCATTTCGCTAAAAACCGCATTTTCAGATTTACTATAGCATGGCTAAAAAGGGATTGACCAACCAACGTTCTGCTGAAGAAACCGCCAAGTTCCATACTGGGGAAGTCTGCCTTAAGCGTAAGAAGCAGGCCCATAATCTCCTAGAAAAAGCGATCTTACAAGTATTTTAATCACTCTTTGATACAAAAGAGAGGTTTCTCTAAGTGAATGCTAGCACACCATTGATATAATCCACTTAATGGAGTGGCGCTACTTATTGTATCAGGTATGGGTCTCGACCGTCTAGCTTAAAATTGCTGTTTGTAGCTATCAATAGACACCTCAAGCCAGCTTATGCTTTAACTTAATCATAAGAACTGCTCGTTTATATTGTTTTTGATCTATCCTCTACTTTTCTTGGGGTACTCACTATGATAAATTTGCAAGCATTTTAGCACATGGGATGTACAACAATAAAATCAGACCAGTTTTTTGCCTCAAACGTCGTCTTGGAAGCAAAGCATTTTAGTAGTGGGAAATTTTTGAGCTTCGAGAAAACCACAGTTTATCAGAATACCACAGTTTTTTTTACAGTTCAAAACCCGCAAACGCCTGAATGCAAGTAAGTGTATCACGATCACAGGAGGGGGGAGGTTTTTTTTTTCGAATAAAGGTGCTTGGCGCTAGCCACGCACTCCGAAAAATATTTGGGATGGGATGCTCCCTAAAATTTTTATGCGCTCATAATTCGAAATTTCAGAGAAGGGGACCACGCCCGATAAAAAGTTTAAAGATTATTTTAATCATTTGCAAATGTAAACACACTTACACATTTTCATAACCCATGAGTTACTTTCAAAAATTACGCGACTAATAAAATCGCGAAAATCTACATCGGATCCAACAGCTCAAACAAAAACTTCTATTCACAATTTTTGCATGTACGTCAAATGCCAGACGTAGCCATTAAAATGTGGAAAATCATTTTGCTTTTTCTTCCAAAATTTCTTACAGGATTGCTCTATTATGGGAATTTGCTACATTCTTGATAAGAAGGTGTTCAGTAAAGGGTAACCAAGCAACAACACAGTTTATCAAATGTCAACAACTTTTCGCGAGCATACAATATTCTTGACAGCATCATGTACAAAAAAATTGAAATTACCTGTTGTCATGTCTGTTTTCAGAATTGAATTGATGATTTTTAATCCATCACCAAACCGACTGATTTTTTCGGATCATAAAAATCAGATAGTTTCCTTAGTTATTAGGACCTTCCGGCTAGTCATCTGAATGCTTGAAAATCTATCATTCCAGAAGAAACCGAATTTTTCTGGAGGATATAATAAACATGTATTAGGTTGGCACATAATAAAATTTTCATATAACTTTTGTCTCGTTGAACGTGGCGCATTCATTTTTTGGCAATGTAAGGATTATGAAGTAAGCTTCTAATGCACACATTTTTGCCGAATTTTACCACCTTTAAGGATTACGGTAGGTTTACGGTGTTATGGGAAAAATTTCAGAACGCATCAGATTTTGCTGAAAGACCTGTAGGGCTTTTCGACATGCTGATCACAAAAATGAGATCCGTTTTGCATGAAAAGGCCTCGTTCGTGAGATCAAAAAACGAATTTCATTTTAGCGACAAATGAATATGAAATTCGTGTTCACCGTATAGGATTACCCTATAGTGCAAAGTTTTAGCGAATTCTGACTTTTCGCAGCTTAGTTATTGACAAATTGCCTTCAAAACTTGACGATGTGACTTGTTCAACTTCTCAAAGGCACCCCAACTTGATTTGTGTTTAAATTTCGTTTCTTTCTTACTGATTCCAATGTGTCCACTTCTAGCTACATACTGCCTATAATTGCTTTTTGGCATGTTCAATCCAGGTTTCGTAGGGCTTCATGTTTGCTAAAAAACCGTGAAACCTCGATTTTCAGCAGTTTTTAAAAAATGTTTAGATTTTTTGTACTACGTTATCAAAAACCAAACGGTTTGTGGAGACTTGCAGCTTACATCACGTTCTACATGATGCCACAAAATGAGATAAGGGAAAAGTTACGGGAAAAGTTGCAAAACTTATTTGCCAACCTAATAAATCAATAAGCTTCAACAAATTTTGCGCTCCTAATCACAACTGCGCAAGTTACATAGAGATGCTAACAGTAAGGTTAAACTTTAGTCATCTCTCTTTTCTCTGTAAAATCCGCCGTTGCAGGTAGAAGCGCAGAAAGAGGATTGTCATTGTATTAGGTTGTCCGGAAATTAATGCAGGTTTTGAATTTCAACCGCAGTAAGTCATACACTTCTCATTTCTAAGTAGGTTGCAATACATCATTCGATAGAGCAAAGCAAACTCTATAAGACTCTATATAACTCTATAACACGCTTGACCCTGGTTCCAACATGCATTTTATGCAACATTATCCGCCTTCTGATGCTTCAATATCGAATGGAGTGTTGTGTGTATTGTTTGGAGCCTAAACGTTATTTACTATGAGATCTGTGGCAAAGTCATGAAACATGCAATTACAGCAAAAATATAAAAGGTTTTAGAGTTTTTGCGAATTGAAGCTTGATTACTATCAACATATTAACATCGTTTACTAATTGGTTTTGTCTTTTGCCAATACATTTGGGAAAAGTCACGTATCAAGCTTAGGATTTCTTTTGATTCAGACATAAATTTCATTAGCAGAAAGTACACAGGATAACAAGGTGTACCGTATACCTATTTTGTCAATTGTGCACTCGAAAAATGCTTTATAATTCTATGCATTTGTAACATCCATTGCAATAACGTTGTTCCGAATCAGAAAATCAGAAATCAGAAAAATCAGAAAATCAAAAACCAGAATCATTTTATCATTTCGCGAATAATTCTCCTTATTTCAATAACCAAGCTTCAGAGCTATAAACTTTCAGTGAAAATTTGTGACACATCATTGACGATAAAAGTGTTGACCATAACCCACTGACCTAATGGTAAATCGCATTTGTCGCGCATTTCACTAGTAGCTATCACAAGTCAACTCAACTCTCATTCGTTCTTCTTTTATGAGTGTTTTCACTTTTACAGCCGTCTTCTTCGCAATCACTGTCGTGACGCAAAGTGAGTAACACTCTAAATGGTGAGAAAAGAAAGTAACAGTACCATTTTAGCCAGCGACGAACAACCCTACTATGGAGTTCCAATGGGAACTTTCGAAAGCGATAAGTTTGGAGTCCATTCCGAGTTATACTTAGCTGATGATCATACCATAGTTCTTGACAAATTTGACCATAAACCAAAAACACCTGCGTGTAAGTCCAGAATTTGAAAAGCTCATGACTATCCTTGTTATGAAGTTGTGTGCGTATTTGTCTAGGCACAGCAATGATGATAGGACCACCACGACAAGAAGACGAAAAGAGAAAGGTATTCTGATATAATGACCCGCCAAGAGCACAGGTATTGTAAGAATTCCAGGTAGGAGATGGAATATTGTTACCGTACACTCAGCCCAATTTTTCTTGGGAAGAAATCAGACGACGAAAAAGGATAGCGGAGTTAGTAATTTATCATCTCTCTAAACCCGAGTATTTGGCAATGTATTCGTTTTAGAGAGGAGACGGAAAAGACGATAATTCGTTTGAAACGTGGGTTTTTTCAATGTGTAAATTAAATAACTTAAAGTTTTGATTTGTCAGAATGGCTAGTGTTGTTGAAATTTGGTCTTGTGTATTTGAAGTTATGCCTATGGCTAGGCTGTGATTTTATCAAGTGCCCTGAAAGTTAATATTGAACTCGAAATAACGGAATCCTTTTCCTACTTTCTGTTCATCGTCCTTGTCCGTTTTGCACCTGAAACACTATTACCCGAACAGTTCGATGAACTATAGGTTTTCGATAATCGTGTCTATTTGCTGGAAGCGCTAGAAGATTCAACCAAAAACATCTGCTGTTTTGTGATGAATAAACAGCTTCCCTCCAAACAAGTGAGGAATTTTCCAGAACTTTACATTTGTAAAGAAATGTCCGCTTTTTATTTTCTTCCAAGACAAGAAAGGAGAGGAAAATAAACTTAGATCAAATATCTCTCTATCGTGAATCAAAATGGTAACACATCATTTCGGGTTTTCTTCTTAACCATTATTTATCTGTCTCATTCCGTGTCTTAATATTTGAAGTCCTATTAACACTGTTTTGTGTATAATTGTAAGGAAGAATTCTTCGTAAAAACCAATGTCAATTTTGAGCTTTTTCGAAACGTCTGCTGAAGTATGGGCCATCTGCGAATATTGTCACTAAACTCATAACTTCCACGACTTCTAGGTTTGTTTATACAGAAACAGAACCAAATAGCTCTCCAAATTTATTAAGCCCGAAGACGCCTCCTACTCTCGGTCCTGATGAGTCGTACGAAGAGATCGAATACATCGAGGATGAAGAAGAGACGGAAGAGAAATCAAAATTGCTGAAAAACCTTCTACCAACGTTTTCAAAGGTTAGTCTGCAAATGTGAAATGCATTTGAGTTTACTGTTGTTGTTTCAACAGCGAACTGCATAAATCTTAAAGTGCTTTTCCCTATGCAGCTCTAAACTGCATCAGGAATTCCTTATATAGCTATTCATTTTTTTTTGCAATTTCTCTTATTTCGGACACTTTTTAGTTAAAACGCCAAATTCGAGTAAGAAAATTTCTTCTTCAAAACGCTCAAAATTTTCTAATTGAATCTTTCCTTTTAGCTCCATTTTTCTCTCATCATTACCAAATATTTCAACACACAGTTCTTGTCCATATCTTGCTCCTGTATAATATGTCATCCCTAAGGTGTGCTGTAATGTGTCACTAATAATTGATGCTGTGCTAAGAATATTTTTATTGAGTCTGGTAATATTCTGCCACATTCATAGAAAGGTTTCTTATTTTTCGACTATCCGCTTGACTTCAGTCCTGAAAAGAAGTAAAAGAAATTACTCGCTCAATTTTTTGACACAGATGGCCCAAATAAAAAGCTATTTTGACTGTACAGACTAGTCTCCACGTTTCTACATAACCGGGATACCACTGTAGAACCAGCAACTCTGAAATCCGAAGTTTGTGTTGAACCAGCAACTCTGAGAAAAATCGTAGTTCTTGAAAAAAAAAAGATTCTAAAAAGTCTATTCTCCTGCTTCGCAACTTTCTCTTAGAAATCATGAAAATGTTAAAGACGTTCAACCCGTACAAAATTTTTATGGTATAAAAAGCTGAGCTTTTGATTTTTTGCATAACATTTTTGATTTACCGCGAGCTATGATGAATGGGAATTAAGTATAACTTCTTTTCACAAAGATCGTCTTAGAAGACAGTTGAAGCTACAAAACATCTTGAGGCTTTGCAATAGAAACTCAAAAAGTCTGAAGCAGTCCGAAATTAGAACTTCCAAAAGAGCCACAAAATTTTTTAACGATCTAGCAGTTACCTCTAACAATGGGTCCCAACACTTTTCTTTATTCAACCAGGATGGCGAGACACATCGCCAGCATTCCACGACAATCTCTACAAGCACTCTTACAACCAGGAGACAGTTTCCTACACTGGTTACAGGTCTGATTCCATAATTTTTGGTTCTTAAACCATTTCGAGCCGATGTTTTCAGAAGCGCCGTTTTTCTCATTTACCACTACTGCACTACCCATGATCGTTTTCAAGTGAGTAGAGCACTTTTAAGCAAATCTTCAAGCTAAAAACCATCATTTCAGTAAATCCGAGAGACTGCAGCAAAGGAACGAGGTGGTTTTCTTTTCGATCACCCCAATTTCGATTTCATATTGAGTAAAGTGATCTAAAATTTGACATTCAAGCTTATTATTGTTTCATGTAAGCTGACAAAAAAAAATCAAAACCTGTGAACTTTTGTGTTCGATTTTTTTGCCCTAACCAATTATATTTCATCCTGCCAATACAGATGCTCATTTTTATGTAATATTATGTAGGTTCTCTCGCACAAATTTCCAAATATCGTAACTTCGTATCTTGATATTTTGCATATTAGACTTATACTTTATATACTATACTTTGTTAGAAAGAATGGATTATGTATTTCTAATAACATATTGGAAGCTTTCTAATAAGCTCTGGTTGCATAGACAAAAATTAGAGAAAGAACTTATACGATCGGTGTTTTGAGCAGGCTCAACAAAAAATGAGAAACATGGTAAAAAAAAATCCACAGTTATTAACATAAAGCTTAAGAGATTTTTTTTTCTAGCTGAATAAAGTTTTGCTCACCGTGCTTGTCTGTTAAATGTTATTCTGGGAGGTGCCGTAATATTAATTTTGCCGTTTTGTATAGTTTTCTCGAAATTCGTAACTTTCTGGGAAAACCTCGATCAGCACAATCTTTAGTTAGCTAGAAAGGGATGTCCTAAAACTCAAACTAATAGCTGCTTTAGACTTTATTGGGCTTTTACATTTATGATGGACCTGCTTAAAAATCACCGAAACTCAAATAATTTCTTCCTTCAAATTTTATCTCTGCAAGCAAAGCTGGTGAAAAAGCTTTTCAAAATTTTGTTCAAAATAAGTAGTTCAAGAAAGTTAGCATTTTGCAAAAATATCGAGACAAATTCCAGTTTACGATTTCTCGAAAATGTTGCGCACAAACTTTCAATGCACCCCAATATTTTTATTCTAAATCTAGGAGCACCAGCATGTGTTATCCTTAAATCTCTTTGGATATTTGGAAAAATCTGCTGTTTTTATTCGGAAATGTTTTCTCAATTTTTCCACTCTGATGGGAAAAAACAAACATTGGCGCAAATGAATTAGTTGTAGTGCGCTTCTTGATATCAAAGTTCACTCAGTAATTCCTGTTTCACGATCGACATATCAGCCAGAAGAAGCAGACCGTCTGATTTGATTGTGTCGTGAATGCCAACGGTGTAAAATCGCCGGATACAGCCCCTTGAGTTTTGTCTCGAATCCCCCCCCCCCCCGCCCCCCTAGGCATGCCATAAAGGCTACTGCATGACGAAGGCGCAGAAGAGGTGATAGTTGAGCGGGCGCGAACGAGGCGAGCGTATCTTCATCGTTGTAAATTCTGCGCCTCATGCGCTCTTCGGCTAATAAAGCCGCGTTCGCGCCCAAAGATATTGCGTTTTCGTCATGCAGCAGCTTATACCTATATAATTAGTATATTCGTAACATGTCAAATAACCCCTGTAGGCTAAGTTTTAGCGAATTCTGAGGGTTCTCAACATTAGGCCAACCAAGTGAAGCGACCATTTTCAGGCGCTAACTATTTTGAAAGTGAATTAGTTACTCCTCCTGTACTTAATACAAAGCGATACTCTCTATTTGTGCACACCACGAATCCTGTTCCAAATAATCATAGAACTATGAAGTTAGGAGCTGGCCGAAATCACGTTTGTCCCATTTTTCGCTTAGTGATTGTGCTTTCAGCAACTAATGCTCAAACGAAAGAAGGGTAATTCAAGCAATCACTTCTACAAAAAGTAAGAGATTTTGGTTATTGAACTGTATATAATACGTATTCTGAATTCTTTTTTGAAGTAAGTTAGTGGGGGTGTGACACAACCCCAGAAAAGCTTTGGCTGCCACCCTTTTTAGGGCTTGTGTCGTACCCGATTATACCTTTGCGCTACTACATGAATCGCGAGGGGAGGCGACAAGAATGAATAAATTCGATAGCCTAAGCCTGATAATTTACACAAAAGTGATTTGATTAATTTGATTGATCTCCTCGTCTGAGATATGGAAAGAATGGAACAAACGAGATTATGGCTTGCTCTTAATTCCTTAGTTTGGAGTTTATCGAAGTGGAGTTCCTAACGTGAGCAGAGAAGTAGTAACTTTTGTATTAAGTGCAAAAAAATGGTTAACTCACTTTGATACAACGTTAACATGTTCGAAAATAACCTCTCACGTGGGTGGCCCAATATTTGAAAATCTCAGAATTCGCGGCACTTGGCCCACAGGGGTTATATGACATGATAATTACGAAAATAATGCTCTTATGCTTTTAGAGCTCTTCCATAATGCCTACTGTACATATACGATGGTAGGCCAAAACATCACTATGCTGATATTTTCCGTAAAAGGTCTAGACATTGCAAACGAATACATGTCATCGTTAACATTAGAATCACCTCGATAACGCCCCCCCCCCAGGTGTGGCATGTCACACCCTACGCTTGATCCTGATCATTGGACTTAATGAGAAAAACCAAGCCGTCCGACTTGTATTAATAAATCTAACGGTGATTTCTTTGCATGCTAATTTCATTCAGAAGCATGCGACTCAATCGTTTAAACTTCCGAATCTCGATAGCAATCACATAGAAGCCACGACTGCGAAAGGTAATTGCCAGATTTCTATTATCTCTGAGGTAAACGTTAAGTACAAGTTAGGCTAAAGCATTTATAAATTCCCAAATTTTTCCATCAAAAACAGAATAGTGTGTTCAAAAGACGTTGGAAAATTGTAGAATGGGATCATATACTTTTTTTCAGCTCCAGTAATATTATGGGAAATTTCTTAGTTGTGTAAAAAAATAAGTTATTCAGTAAGATCCGTATTTAAAAAAAATGGTAACGTCTTCTGCTTTGATCTGGGTGCTATTAACTTGGCTTTCAAAGAAAAGAAGACTATTGATATCGAGACTAGTCACTCTTTCACAGAATTCCGAAAAAAAGATTTTTTTAGAATCCCCAACGAATCTTGATTCATCGTTCTCTCTACCGCCAGCGCAAGACGAACAAGTCGCATTTCTTCTAACAAATGGTGGCCGCTTATCCGACTACAAGTGGATTGGGCTATACGATCAGTGCAAAAATGTTAGTATTAGGTTGTCCCAAAAGTAAACCGTATTTTTGAATAGATCAAACAATTTTTGTTTTTCTGGCAGACTTGTGGTACCATTCGATTAGGCGAAGCAAGCTCTGCAAAATGACTACCAAGGATCCGCCTAAGTCGCATTCCATGTAAAGTTTGAAGCCAAAACTGGAAAAAATTGATTACCTGAAAATTGGATTTTTGGGAAGAATAGTCGTACGGAACTCAAACTTGGTCATTATACAGCAGTGACATATTATTACTCAAATATGCCTTTACTGGATTTTTTCCGAGCTTAGAAAACGAGAAAAAAGTGTTAGTCTGAAAATGGCAAACTCCGCCCCCAGTCCCTCCCACATATGTCACTGTATAATTCAAACCTTACTAAGTATAATTTCAAAACTGAACCTTTGTATGTGCTCTTATAGTTGAGAAATACCAAGTTTTACCTGAAAAACCCGAAAAAAGTGGCATTTTGGCATTTTGGCATTTTGGGACCCCATTTGTTTCTCAATTTTGAACTCCGGAACAAATCAAAAACATTTTTCGACACTACTATGTGTCTACTATATAAGGACCAAGTTGGAAGTTCGTAGAAATTTTTTGGAAGGAGATTCGATTGTTAGGGTAGCTGAAAAGATTTGATTTTTGGGTCCAAATTTTACCTGGATAGCGACTCAAATGTATTAGGTTGAACCGAAAGTTCGTTCGCACCATTTTCAAAAAGTCATAACTTCTTTCCGTCACGACGATTTTGCGCAGTTCAAGTTTTATTAGAAAGCATAAAGCATGTAGTTTCCAATAGTCTCCTGGCGACTTTCCAGCATGTTCAGATTGCAGAGATAAAAATGAAAGAACGAAAACATCCGAAATTCGGAATTTTTGAGAAACAGTTCCAAAAATCTAGAAACTGCGCGATAAAATCCAGAAAAGCCATTATCCTAATTTTTCTTATATTTGATTACTAACTGAGTTAAGTTTGTGCTGATCGAGCTCTTCTTTCAAAAGTTATGATTTTTTGAAAAAAATGCCGAAAAATTACTTTTCTAAGAATTCCTAAGAAATTGATTTTTCGGCATTTTTTTCAAAAAATCATAACTTTTGAAAGAAGAGCTCGATCAGCACAAACTTAACTCAGTTAGTAATCAAATATAAGAAAAATTAGGATAATGGCTTTTCTGGATTTTATCGCGCAGTTTCTAGATTTTTGGAACTGTTTCTCAAAAATTCCGAATTTCGGATGTTTTCGTTCTTTCATTTTTATCTCTGCAATCTGAACATGCTGGAAAGTCGCCAGGGAATATTGGAAACTACATGCTTTACGCTTTCCAATAGAACTTAAATTGCGCAAAATCGTCGTGAAAGTTATGATTTTTTGAAAATGGTGCGAACGAACTTTCGGTTCAACCTAATATTTTGGTGGTCATTTTGTAGAGCTTGCTTCGCTCTATCGCATGGTGTCCCAGGTCCGCCAGAAAAACAAGAACATTTTGATTTATGCAAAAATACGTTTTACTTTTGGGGCAACCTAATATCTGTGAAATTGGACAACTGTTACAAAATCTGTGCCTGATTCAGATCTCGGTTCCATTACTGACACTGACAGGTGTAGATCCGCCGAGGGAGGAAGAAGTTGGGCGATTCGTTGGGAATGATCGTAACATATCGAGTGGTATTGTGAAAATCCTGAACTGTAACACAATTCTGGTTACTGATCTTTTCTTTGAAGCTACTCAGAAGTTACCCAGTAAGTTTTATCTCTGATTCTTATAGGGTATAGAAATTTATCAGGAGCAAAGAAGTTTTTATAGCTTTGCTGTCTCTCGGAAATTTCGGGCTGGAGTTTCACCTCAAAGACCAAATTTCTTAATTTTGCTTTTTCATGATATCACCCATCAATTCACAGCATTTCAAGTTTCAGAGATGTGATAGTGGATTTGGCAATTCACACAGCGCCAATGCGGTTCCGGACAGCACTTGCGCGCGTGATTTAGCACGCTAGCCTGAAAAGAGCGCTCCATGGCCATTTTACGCGCGCAAATTGGCGGCATAATAACCACTACAATTCGTCCACGCGCAAGTGCTGTCGCACTATACCTGTCAAATTACAATTTATACCTTTAGATACCTTCTTCTTCGTCGGTTTAGGAAATGTCACCCATACAGTACAGCAAACAAAGGCGAGAACAATCGGATACGAAATGTTCGTATTTCAACATAGACATTTTTCTACATAAACTGCTATATTAGTTATGATTTGATTTCCAGCGGGGACCCACTGGAACCCTACAATGGCGACGATGTGATGGTACGATTGCCGAAGGGAATACGGACATTCGATGTGGATTTTCTTTCCATTTACAGCGAGGATGAGAAGAGGAGCTATGGTCATGTTGACCTACCAAGCTTACTTGTACCTCCATGTGTCGACGATACCGGAACCTTATAGTTTTTCTCAAAAAATGCACTTCAAGATGTTTGAGTGACGTAAACTCGAATACTTTGCTTCAAACTGTTTCACAAATGTGTTCAACGTTGTAATACTCATTTTCGCTAATAATGTACATAGAAATAAAAACTTCCCAGTACGTGGCTCTCAGATTTTTTGAGTTTCAAGACTTATTAGAAAATGCCCAATTTTTGTAAATTCTACCAGGCCAACGTTATTGATTGTGCTGTTCTATCGTTGCTACATACATTTTCTTTACAAGACAATCGATAGAGATTTTGAAAGGAAAGAACGTTTTAATGGTTAGAAAGGAATAAGAGGAGTATAAATAACTTGTGCAATTCAAGAGTTTCTTCACTGCAAGTTGGAGCTTTTTTTTTTGAAGCATAAGGTATACTTTATAGCTTACCCCTCAGAACTTACAGCGTGAAAATTTATCCTGAGGATTTTCAAAAAGTAAATGTCTTTATTTGAAGATCCTTTCTATACTTATAAAGTGCAAATCCAATTATATCTCACCCTTTCCAATTCGTGAATGTGGTAGAGTCTCAATTACCACTTCTGATTTTGTCTGATTATATCGACATAAAAATTTCACAATTCGTGTTCCATCCAAATCTAGGCAACTTTGATAGTGCTCGGTGTTGCTTTTGTGTCAATATATCTAGAATGGTATATTTTAACTTATTTTCAATTTTACCTTAAATTAATTTTCAAACCAAGGATTATTTTCAAACTATACATGATAAAAAAGTCTTTTTTGGCTTGAATGGCGTGTGTCTTATCTTTATTCAATAATAATTCCATAAATAGTTTGGTTTTTAAGACTGTTCTCCCTTTGATATTGAAAATCCTCTTTGAGACGAAGTTATTGAAGCAACAACTTTTGTAAACATTAATCACTTCTATTTATTGTAAACCTCAAATAATTACCGAATAATTTTCTTATAATTTTTTTCCTTCTTATTAAAAAAAGATTAGTTTTTAGTATTGTTTTTTTACCGATGACTTCATTATGTAATAAATCATAATAATGATTTAATCTGAAAATTTGATTATTTAATATATTGTGCGTGGGTAGTGTTGGTAAGGAAAGGAAAGACTCATCCCAATGATACACAAAGTTTTTATTTGGAATTTGTGGGCACATAGTCTACTGATTGCGTTTACGTCATTGAACTTGAACAGTCGGATGGAGAGAAAACTTCTTTCTTTTTTCTCTTTATTTAGGAGGGGGAGGCTTTAATTTATAAGTTGAGCGAAAAAACCCAAGCAAAAGGACCACAACTGGACAGGAAGCATAGCAAGATTTCGATTATAATGCTTACCATACATCCCATTTCTTGCAAAGATCTTGGTGCCCATCCCTTGTAATTTCTGGCCATTATCCGGCAAAGTCATTTTCACTTTCATTGCTAAAATAGCCATCAATTCCCATTGGACGGTCTCATAGCCGAATTGCAAAACATTCTAATAAAAAAATCATAAATCTAGAATACTCTATATTTTCAAATTATTTAATTGCACTGCTGTGAACGATGTACACGGTCATGCTCGCTCCTGAACGTTACAACGGTCACAACAGAACACATTTGGTATACCAAGGCGGAAAAATTGTTTATGGTAATTACCATATCCAATCCCTTTTCAGCGAATAATGTGAAGGATGAATAATGTGCTTTTGAACAGGTTTAGCAGTGAAATCCTCGAAGAAAGTGCAGGTTAGGAAGAATAGACGAAGATGCAAACGTTGATAGAACAACGTTGGGTGGCGCTAAGAATATTTGCTCGAAAGATTACTGTAGAGCCGCAATTCCGAATGTCTCGAGCGAGAGCGGCTGTGGAAACATTGAAAATCAATCTGCAACCAGCTTCTGAATGATGAGAATTTTTGAAAATTTGGATAATGAGATCGCGTAATTCAGGTATATCAAATATTACTAATTTCTGATAAAAAATCCAAAAGCAATAAATTTTTGCGTTTTCTAAAGTACACCAAGACAATGGGCATGATAAGGGGAAATCTTAAATCATGTGCCCTGAGTGCCATTCTTATAGTTCACATTCAGTGGCCAAGACTTTTCAAAATATGTAGCTTGAAAATATAGGCTAAGTTCAGTTTTAGTACTATCTCATGTTGACGCAGATCATGTTCATAACAAGTTGATAATATCTGTATTGCTTGTGCAAATATATTGGAAGTGTTGATAATAACGAAGATCATAGAATAAGGCTAGTGTGATTCTACGCATTTTACTGTTGGCTTTTTGAAGTCACGCTTATAATGTGCTCCGAAAGTTAATGAAAATAACACATCGCGGGTGATCTTTGTTTGTCAAGCAAGGCACGCAAAACAGAAATGCTTATGGTGTAGAGTTCCGTATACTTACAGTAGTCCTTCATCACCCCTTTTTTGTGTAATTGCACTTTCATACTTGCATGGCAAAAAAAATGTCGTCGGAAGTGAAACGTCTATAACACTGAGTGATTGTTGCTCTATGAAACTTAAGCTTTGCTGCTTTGAAGATATTAATAGTGCAATTACACAACCGGTAACCAGATGAGAAAGAATGGAGTGATTAATAACGTAACGGCGTACTTACCACAAACCTACCGTATACTTACAGTTCGCAACAACTCAAAAGGAGCCCAAAATAGAGCACTCCGTTCACATTCAAACGTTATGAATTTTTGTTGTTCAAGCTGAAAATGCACTTTATGGATTACTACGGGTACTTCTGGATTACTTTTGGGTATAACAAATCCATTGCCTTTCACCGTTTAACTTTCACTGATTCTCACTGATCGGCATTCTTTCGGCGACAGACGTAACCGTGATGACTGTCGCCGAGGGACCAGACGCGACTCGAATAAGTTGCAATCGGGTCAAAAGTGAAATCGAGACACGCGATCACTCGTACTCTTATGACAGTTATCAGAGCTCTCGAGTGATCTTTCATACGACCCACATCTATATGATACGATCGCGCCGGTGTTCACTCGTCCTATATTAGAACCCGTTCGAATGCAACACCGATTTGAAACGTTTCATTTTCACCTCAGCAATCGGCTTGTGATGTCACTGATCGGCCATGAGCTAGCGACGTCTAGACATTCCCTTTCAATGCTCATTTCTGCTGTTCATCTACTCATGAAATCGACTTGCAACACCTACAGTATTCCTTTGTGCCATCGTTTACTGACCTTCTTATAACTGTTGGTAAAATACAAATCAAATGTATCTGCTTTGTATACCTAGAGAGCCTACATTCGACCGATTGCTATAGTGCCCTTGCGGTGACGACAACAGTTTGGCGAAAATAAATTCCGCAGCCCAGTGCCACTACATTTACCGTTACACTGCGTCTACCGTTTGAGACAGTATATGACAAAGCTTGAAGAACCGAAGCAAAGCCCAAAAATTTTTGCATTCAGAAGTAGCAATCAGAGCTAAAAATTTTCAAATAAAATTAACTGCCTAAAGCTGAGGCCAACGACACTGTATAGCGTATCGTAGGCATTAGCTGTATTGGTACCATAATACTACATACAATATATGCATATGAATTCTGATATAATTTGCACTTTTGGAGGATGAGCAGCACTATGAGAAATTATATTTATTAGGTTGTCTCATAAGTTTTTTCAATTTTGACTTTTTACCAATAAATCACACTTCTCAATTTTGATTAGATGCACGGAACTGTTCGATAGAGCAAAGCGAGCTCTACAATATGGCATGTAAGTGTTCGCACCAGCTTCACCCACATCACTAGTTAGGAGCCAAAATCTAACAGCTTTTAAATGCTCAAAAAGGTGAAAATTCTCTATAACTTTTTTCTTAAAAAACTTACCAGATCCAAACTCGCTCACGCATATATGCTCCATACAATACATTCATATGTGCCGTTGCTGTGTTTCTTTCTGTGCTAGAAACCGAAAGAACCAAAGTTTTCAAGATTCCAAAAAAGAGACGTTGCGCTGTTTTCACACAGGTAAATGTATACTAGAGGCCTTTAGAAGTACAGTCACAGATTTCCAGCTCTCTATGAGCTCTAGTCCCCGAGAAATATTAGTTTCAACATAAAATACCTTAGCAAAAAAGCTAAATTCGATATTTCTCAAAAACTAGCGCTCCCGGGAAGCTGAAAATCTATCGATGTATCGCTGAAAGCCAGTAGTTACATTCAGCTTCAAAAAAAGCGCAGTATCGCTTTTTTTGAAGCTTGAAAATCTTAGTTTTTTTCGGTTGCTAGCACAGAAACAAACGCAACGGGATATATGAATGTGTTGTGTGGGGTGTATATGTGTGAGCGAGTTTTGGATCTGGCAAATTTCCTTTGGACAAAGTTGTAGAGAATTTACAATTTTTTGGGCATTTCAAAGTTCTCAAATTTCGGCTTCTAACCCGTGATGTGCTGAATCTGGTGCAAACACTCACATGCCATCTTATAGAGCTTGCTTTGCTCTATCGAAAGGTATCCTGCATCTTAATCAGAACTGAGAAATGTGTGACTTATTGCGGTAAAAATTCAAAATTGAAAAAACTTATGAGACAACCTAATATTCGCAAAAATTTGTGAAGATGTAGATGTTTCAATTCGAAGGCCGTGGATTTTTTGAAAGTTACAATCGACAAGGTATAGCACTGAGTAGTACGTAATCTATGCACAATTTTCAATGTTTTTACGCTAATCATCTTGGCTACCGATGTTCGAGTCCTTTGACTGATTTAGAGTTTTGGAAATGACGAGGAATTTACAACTAGTGAATATGTACATCATTGCCTTTGAGACATACTCTTAATGCATTTGAATTCGCATTGCTATTTGTTTCAGCAAGAACTCTTCCTGCTAGTATTTGTATTACTTATTACTTTCCTCTTGCAAATATGTATCATAATTGTCGATCGGTCTATGCACGCAAGAATAATATCACAATTAAGCTCGTGCTGCTCGCTTCTTGAAATATTAGGTCGTTCCGAAAGTAATGTCGCTTTTTTCAAACGTACGCCACATTTCGTGGAACAAAGATATGTAAGAGATTCTGGCAGCATTTGATGCAGCATTTCATTCTCTTTCTAACGGTTATGAAGATGTTGTAATACATTCAATGAGCTTCCAGAAAAGAGTCAAAATCTGCGACCTACGCTTTTTGAGATGGCCAAGTTTCACAATTTTTCTACAAGCTTATAACAAACCTCAGAAGGAGTCCAAATAATGGATGGATGGAGCAAACCCTACAGGAAACAGCACAACTTTTTTCTACTTTTCAGAGCTCGTCATAATTTCTATATAGATTTTTTGATGGAAGCACCGAATTTCAGCAGGCTCGTCTCAGACGCAAATGCATCAAACACCAAGAAATCGTCGGATTTTGAAACTTACAAAAATGGATTATGGTTTTACACTGACTTTACAAAGCAAATGAGCGTTTACCGCTTCAGATTAGCAACTTTCGAAAATTCCGGGTACAACCCGGAGGCGCCCTGGAAAACCTGAATTGTGATGATTTTATCTCGGAAAACTTGATGAATCGGAAACCAAAGACAACTGGTAAAAAGAGGAGAAAAAGCTGCGTCGAATGATACCCGGGTTGCTTGCCGGTTTTTGTTCTGTGAGGTTTGAGTTGAGCAAATATGGAATTCGATGGCATTTTAAAACTGATTCCAGAAACTCTAAGAAGCTAACTAAGGAAAAGAAAAAAGTTACTCTGTGTCCTATAGGGTTTGCTCTATCTACCTGCTACTTGTACTTCTTCGGAGAATAGGTACAAAAATTTTAAAAAATTGCCGAACTTGACAATGGCAAAAAGCAGGAGTTGCAGATTTTGCTAATTACTCGAAAGCTCAATGAAAATTATGCAATGAAATTACAACCATTAGAAAGAGGATGAAATGCTGCTTCGAATGCTTCTAAGATTTCTTGAAAATCTTGATTCCATGAAATGTGGCGTTCATTTGATAAAAGCGACAATACTTTCGGAACGACCTAATATATTGTATTTAATTGTAATTAGACATGTGGCTACTGCTGCCACCGCTTTTGCTGGTCTCTGTATGGGCCCAAGAAACCAGCATTGAACCCCAGCCTGGAATGGTGATAGCACAGCGGTTGGCTGAGACCTTACCTCGTCTTCCTAACGTGATATCCAGTCAGATGGAGGGTAAACCTGAAGAGTTGAGGTAGCTACCGTACCCCTCCGTGTGTTTTTACTAAGAACTTACTCAAACCGTTCAGAAGCATGATTTCACACATGTTGGGGGATGGTCTGATTAGTCAGCTGGTTACGAATCCACTTGGGGTAAGTCTACGGAACCAAATCTCCTTCTGATCAGAAATGAATTTTAGGTGGCTGAAGGAATGGGAGTTCAGCTCAGCAACCTTGGGATCAACAAAACCGATGTTGAGAAAAAGATGCTGTTGGGAAGTGGGAATTCTAGCGCCCTTCCTCTGTTTCCATTGTGAGTTCGTTCTTTTAACTTTCTGCAGCTTGCTAATTTGTATCACAAGAAGCCCTCTTATATTTTTTTGTCAAAAGATTTGTGAAGTTCTGGAACTAGTACGATTGTTAGAAGAAAGTATGCCTCGTAACTTGTACCTTGGAATTCCAAGAATCTGCTTTTTATATTTATGCTTAACGCACTCAGTACCAATTGCGCTAGATAGAGAACGAAATCTATTTGTTTTCCTCAAACAATCTTGCTTCAAACTCCTCATCTTTGCCCCTAATTTAAGTTTTACATGAGTACTTGATATGTGGCTGCTAGGAACACAAAGGATATATCTTCAGCACCGTGCAGCCTCCCAAAACAACTACGAAAATGATGTATCTGGATGGTGTTCCAATCAAAGATTTTGACCAGTTTGTCAGGTAAATATCTCATCAAATAGTTTTGAAGATTTTATGTTTGTTTTTCTGTAGGAATAGAAACTTAGAAGATCATTTCTCTACCAAGCAGCCACCAACAACAACTACTCCTATTCCATCGGCTAATGATGTGGGTGGAGTTTATTGTTAAATTCTCGTTAGGTAGAGAACTGAGAGCTCTTTTGAAGATTGCACCTCGATTATTCAAAAAAAAAAGAGAAAGGTCAAAAGTTGCTGGAAAACTGGGGGTATCACGGGAAATATTCTAGAAAAAATTGTTTTTTCCTCATGCAGAGCAGCGAGCCATCTCAATTTGATTGCAGATCGCGGCAGCTGTTTATGATAAACTGAAGACTTCTATACCAACTTCCATACCACAGGTGAATATTTTGTTCCTTTGCGTTTAGAAACTAAGCAGACGTTTTTAGCCACCAGCAACGGAGAGGAAATTCCCAGTGACCGATGAATTCTCCAGAAATCTTGATGTTGCCATGATTGACCCATCAAGACTTCAAGAAGTGAATACACTTCTGAGAAGAGCGCCACAACGATATGGTGAGTTTGAGTAGCATTGTTTTTTTTGCAAAACAGCTTCTTGGAAATTTTATGATTTTGAATACTATAGCGGAAAGGCCCACGACAACAAAACACTTTCCTAAATAATTTTCTTAAAAAGAGAAACTAACGTATTAACAAAAAGCTGATCGCTAATATACTATTGCTCCTTTGTGATTTTTTCGTGAATTTGTCCAAAGCTATCCGACCACATCAGTTAAAAGCAGCGGCTCGGCAGAATGACATCTTTGGGGTATTCATCGTTCTCACCCAACTGGATGAGCTAAGTCCAAAACTGGCTTTGCAGCTTCAAAAGATTGATAACCCGCTTTTCCAGACGTGAAAAGTGCTATTTGGGCGGACCGCGTATGCCTGCCCTCTAGAGCGCGATTGGCTCGTAACAGAGATACCGTATCCACCGTACCCATGAGCCAATCGCGCTCTAGAAGGCAAGCATACGCGATCCGCCCAAATAGCACTTTTCACGTCTGGAAAAGCGGGTTATTGATATCTTTTGAAGCTGCAAAGCACAATCTGACTTGGCGCATCCAGGGGAACTGAGAACGATGAATATCCCAAAGGTGTCATTCCGCCAAGCCGTTGCCTTTAAACAATTTCAAAACTAAGTTTGATTTTCAGAGAATCCTCTTGCTCACGCTGCTGGACCTTTCATGCAGACTCTCGATCCAGAAGTTGATGAAGTAGTGACTAGCCTTCGCACTGGCAGCGCTATGGATGTTGAGGTTCAAAAACTTTTTCGAAAATCATTTTCAACATTAACATCACTAATTTAGCGCATTCGACAATTACAAAACATTCTTCAAACGTATGAGCAAGGACTACAGACAAAAGAACTCATTGCTAAACGTAAACAACTGCAGCTTTTGCAAAATGAGTTGGTGCAACAAAGAAAGAAGATTGAGGAACAAAGGAGAATGGAGGAGGAGCTTAGGAAAAAGGCAGGACTTTTTCACCATTTTCCAGTCATTCTTGGCCACATCAATGCACAATATTATATTTGAACAAAGTGGATTCCTGAATGATCTCCGTTTGGTCTCAAATAGCAATTTAGGAGCAAGAACTCGAGCTACAGCGCAGATCTATGGAAATTCAACTACGAGAACAGCTGAATCAGTGGCATAACTCATTCAGTAATGTCAAGGTAAGGTTTATGAAGCTAGAAAAAACTTCAGGTAAGATTCAAGTTTTTTTTGTTAGGATCGGAACTCTCTTCTGGTGCCCATGGACTTACCTGAACTTTCTGCTCCAGCAAGCAGTTTGGTAAGTGAGAAATCTTTCTTTGTCTCATCTCTTATTTTAGTGAGCAAAAAATGCTGATGGTTTTTATACTTTAGGTTGCTCAGCCTCCAGCACCAATGGAAATGCTTCCAGAAACAACCAAACTCCCACATGTGGAAATCCCGAAAGAGTTACCAACCATACCAACTACGATGTCCACAGTCATGACCCCTCCAGCTTTTTCTATGGAGGAGGAAGTCCGTAATTTCAAGTTTCTGACGATAAATTTTAATCATAAGTTAAGGAAGAAGAAGAGGAAGAACCAGCACCAGCTGTAGGCACAAATCAAGTTTGGCCAAAAGTCTTGGTGCCACCACATGGCAAAAATGTTCGGCTAGCGCCTAGAAGATCAGCTTTTGAACAAGAAGCGTAGGTTTGCTCAAAAAGGCTTCTGTATTTCTTTCTCTTCACAGAAAACACTTTAGAAAACATGCATTTACATCTACAATGATCTAAAAACTCACTTTCTAGAGAAGACTCAGATGAATTTACATCTGCTTGCGAATGTCAGCAGATATCCCTACAGCAGATGAAAGGAAGATGGTCCGTTGCACTCGCATCAAAATCCCTCCTGGAAAAGGTCCAAGCAAAGCTGGCATCTATCCTGCCAAACAGTAGAGATCACGAGCTTAGCTGCAGTAGAGCTGTTGGTAAGCTTATATTGTTTTGATCCGAACGCTGACAAAGAGCGGAATGACGATGCCTTGGTTTTTGATCTTTCAAGAATTAACGCATAATTGAAAAAGGACTACCTTTTTTACCACTGAAGATGCATGCTTTCATATATTATTGATGCAACCTCACGATTTTTTTCCTACCTCCTAATTGAAGAATCAAATTATTTGACGGCCATTTGGCCAGAAAGAAATCGGGAAGAATTGACTGAAACTTTCATAATAAAAGCATAATGACTGCAAAGCAACTAAGGCACTTAAGGCTCGTAAATCTGACTGTGAATATAATGTACCTGCGGTGTTGACATTTGCTGTCATTATCTGTACGTGAACAAATCGCCACAGGCGCAAAACTTGTAGATAGCTTTCCACGGCCATACACGCTCAAATTGCTGGCGTTGCAAGTATAATAATGATTTGTTCACGCGCATTTGTTGTCGGCAGATGTCGGCACCAAAGTGGCACCATATTCACCGTCAGCTTTACCAGCCTATGCATTATGAGCGTTATCGAGAACGAACAGCTAACGATCCTGCTGGGAATACGGATTGGTGCTGTGCTACATATTTCATCGTGGTAAATCATGTTTGGCTGAATCTTGACGAGGTTGACGGCTATTCGCAAAACTCTGAAAAGCGAAAATAATATGCATTCGAAGTCTTATTTCACTCAAAGTTTACCTCCTCATTCTTTTTGCCCTCTAATCTCTTGCTATATTGCAACGGTTACAATAATTTTTCATAAAAAGTTTTACAGTATCCGCTCCCAAGACGTCAGCAGTCGCCCAAGATGCACGCATCCTTTGGGAATTTCGTACATCTGGATCATCAAAACTTCTGCGGGTACGTTTTTCACAATCTAAATATCTCAAAATGTTTGAAGGTGCAATTTATTCACAGCGCGATGACAAGCCCAGGTTTTAATCCAATAGTAAATAGCAAGAAAAATGTTTTACAAAGATTGCAGAACTAAGCTGGACAGGCGGATTAACGTAAGAAAGTCCCACATCTTTCTTGAATTGCAAGATTTTTCTGCAAGTGCGATGCTAAGAGTACCTTCATTATTGGAATATTGATGTGTTAATTTCACACTTCTGCAAATTTAAATAGTCTGGGAAAAGCATTAGAACATGGATTTTTCAACTGAATGTCAAGGTCGGGATAAACTGTTATTATGTTACTATCTCACCGGATGGAGCAGTTTCGGTGAGACAAAGTTCTCAAAGTTCTGAGTTGAACTTTGCTGATCAGAAGTCGAGGATGAGCTTCCAATAACTTTAGCACTATTTCAGCTCAGTGGAAGTGCCCTTTCAATGGATCACAGATCAGTGCGAATACAGATTCACGATTTTTCAAATAATATTTTCTCGTTACCAGGTAAGCGACGTTTATGTTTACAGGATTATCGATACGCTATAATAACTGCAAGCCTTTGTTAATTCAAATCGACTAGAGGAATGCAAACGAGTTGGAAATTTGCGCCTTACGCTTTCTCTTTTAACCTTTAGCATGATTTCTTTAAAATTCGTAGGCCCTCTTTCAGAGATTATAAGTAAATTTAATTGCAGTATTTCAGTTTGTGTTCTGAAGCACTCTGGTGGTGTCGAATATGAGTACATGTTGGTCACAAATGGAAATGGTGGGTTACCTTGAAAATTGCAAAGTTACAGTTTTTTCCTGGATTTTTGATCTTCGATAATTTCTTAGAAGAATTACCTTTACTCATCACTGCACGTTATGCTCTGTTTTCATCCAAGGCAGTTATTTCAGTAAAGATTTTTTGCTTCTAGGACCATGCCGAGAAGCTGCCTTACTCGTCCGAAACCCTGATGTGTTCTTTGACAAAGACAACAGCGATCTTATCAATTATTTGAAGGATGTAAGATATTTTTCCTTGCTCTGGATTGCTCTACATGGCCTTCTACAAATCGCCATTTCAGAAGATCAGCAGCGATGAACTCGAAACCTTAGATATAGTGCCATTCGCAAACGACTGCTCCTAGAAGTAAGCACCGGCAGCTAATACTAAAAAACCCCCGCTCAAAACTGATCTTCAACAAACACTAATAATGTACATTGATAATAATATGCAAGGATAGCTGTACTAGCAAATAAAAAATTTTTATCAGTGTTTTCATTTGTAGGACACAAGTTTTACACAGGGAGATGATGAGAATAGTAATGTAATAATATATATTTTAATAGTATATATAATTATATATTAGGTTGGCGAATAATTTTTGTTACACTTTTATTTTTATTTTCTACAACTAAGAAACATCCGAAAATTCTTATGTTTGAGGAGTGTTGACGGGATGCAAAGGTCTACCCGCCGGCTCTGCGGTCCTTGCGCAAAACACTCACTTTATCGGTGGGAGTACGTTTCATGGACACTTTTGTCAGCGGCCTGGCATACTTCCAAGTGATCAGGGAGAGATCGGGCGACGTGGTGTGCGGGCAGGGTATGGTCCATAGTTTTTAGCGAATGTAAGGCATGGCACAATCATGTCCACACGATCACATTAGCTACATGTTGCGCCATTCCAGCGCACTTCGCATTTCAGCATGAAAAACAATTTTTAAAAGTTCACAAAAATTATTTTCAACCTCTACGTATCAACTCTTACCAATGTATACGAAAAGAAAAATTTTCGACTGATTCTTTCGATTTTCTTGACTTGTTCAAAGGCAGTGGCTCGGCAAATCTCAACCTAGTCAAATTTTCGCTTACCTGGGGTTATTCAATACGCTGATCCCGAAAATCTACTTCTGCGAGCTTGAAAACGGCGAAAACGAGCGTGTCTCAACTTCCCTTCGGAATTGGACGAGTGGAGCAAGGCTGATAATGCTGGACCGTTGCGGGACCCAATGACTTAGCATTGAGGCGGGCAGCCTCCAGTGGTAAAGAGGAGATTGTCAACTCGTCCGGGAGCGTGTAAGATTGGCCTGCGCGTGTAAATTTGAGAGCCATTTTCTCGGCAGGGAAGGCATGCTGTGCAACCAGTATTGCACTGTTTTCATACTTAGGCGATAGGGAACCTATCGCGTTGAAAACCTGAGTTGTTGTGTTTTGCCGATCCACTGCCTTTAATCCCCTTGTTTTTGGCGTGCTAGCGCACCAAAGTGCTGCCATAAAGAGGCAATGCGAAAATATACTCCAAAAAAAACTATGGGAGAGAAAAAACACAATTTGACGCAAGGAAATAATCAGAGAAAAAATGGCAGTATTTGCGGCAACGGTCTTACTGTGTGTGCACCCTGCCGTGGCCTACATATGGAGCAACTATGAATATTCTAGAGGAGTTCTAGAATTTTTCAGAACTACACAAAAAAATGTAAGAGAAATTATCCGCCAATCTAATACGTAGTATTTCTAGTCAAAGGATGAGTAAAGAAGGTGGTCCAATCAGTGTGCGACGCGGCTGCTACCAGCGTGTCCGGGCATCTCTCATCATTGGAGCTCATACGCCCGCGCACGCTTCGCGTAGCCGGACGACCACCTTCGTCTTGGATTAGCTTTTACCCATTTTGGTTTATGATGACCCTCGGTTTTATCATGTGTTTCCAATTCTGTCTGAGAGGGACCAGATCCGGGATGCTGTTATTTGTCTGGAAGGGTTTGAGTGTAGGTTCACCTTCTTTTTTTCAGTAGTTTTGATTGGGCCGCGTACGCTTTGAATACCACGGTCAATAAGTGCTTCTTGGAAGGGATGCCTTGTAGCAATGATATATTCTCATTCCAGCGTCAAAAAAGACTTCTAGTTCTCAGGGTAAATTTTTTTATGGGTAGTCGGAATCTCCTATCTCTTGCCAACAGTTATAATCCCCAGTATGAAAGCTTGAATGTCTGGTCGAGCATAAGCTCTACATCATTCCAAGATTTGTGGGTTGTTTGGTCTGCAGAATTTTGCGAATCTAGCTTCCATACTAACCATGCCTTCTTGATCTTGCTACCTCCATCGCCTCGCCTAACGCATGAAAGTAGTGGCTGTTATCAACCTCAGCATGAGGAAATCACACGTTTGTAACAAATTCTACGGTCTCTCATTCGCTGTGCATTGAGTTATAACGTCTATAGGCATGCCTGAAGACGCGACTATCAATGAGGTTTTAAAGACGGCCCTGCCCATTCCCACCTTGATCCTATCCATTTTTTAGTGCATTCCAATGGGCGGTCTCTGCGAAGGATGCTTCAAAATTAGATCCGCGGTAATTTGAATCAGCCACTAACCAGGAAAGGTGATATGTTGCATCTGGACATCCTGTATGCATTTTTTATATCCCCTTGAGCTTGAATTCAAGTCCGTCAACCAGTCCGGCTCAGTCTAGAACTTACCTATACATTCGGGTATAATAACTATGAGGGGAAAATAGACACTTGACAATAGAATGTCGAGTGCAAATGGCAATTAGAGGAGATGCCGACAGTATTTCAGCACATAGATGGACAACTTCACTTAGATTCTGCTCACTGGTATGAGCGTCTTCAAATTGTCTTATTGATCTGTTTGGGTATTCTTTGTGGCTTAACAGCATCCTGTGCAACAACTTTGCCTATAACATGGATCGCGATTTACCAAAGTTTGAGTGACAAAATGCGCAACATCTCCTCGCTTTACCGACATTTTCAGTCTATAGTATGTATATTTTCGGCTGTTAGAGGGGGAAGATTTTGGGATGGCCAGTATCGACTGTGGTGTTTGGGCTTCTACTGTGAACGCTAGTCATTTATTGGTCATTTAGTCAGTCATTAGTATTTTATAGTCATTTATTTTCTTTTCCGTTACGAAAACGAAATAAAAGCACTTGTGGTGCAAAAGAAACAAAACCATATGCATATATATTGGAGCAAAGTGAACACTCATTGAACCTGAGCAATATTCTGAGAGGGGATATAATGTTGAAACAAAATAAATGAACAGGAATGTATAGCTGAAGGTACGCGAACAAATATTACAAATGAACAAATACAGTTGTACAAACACTAGTTGAATTCTTAAGTATTCGTCATCGATGTTCCGCGCCCCGATTTTGGGTTGTTTTGGACCTTCCTTCAGCCGGTGTTAGATTTCGCGCGGGCGAGGTCCTCAAAAATAGTCTTTTCAATCGCTTGCAATACCAGCATTCCCTTTCCACTCACGCATTATCTTCTTCTGAAGATAGCCTTCCAGGCAGAAGGGTAGAGTCCTTTTATCCGGTTGGTCTCCGTCTCAATTCCTTGCGCACATCTTGGACAAGCATGAGAAATGCCTACTTGACTTTTCTCAAACTCTAATTCAATTGTCGTTCACGTCATCTTCCTGTCCTTCAGATGTTCCGGTCTATCGTCTTTGCGTTCCAATCAAAGACTCAAGTTTCAGGCTTTCGGTCAGTGCAGTGAGTAGCAATGGTAAATACTGAATGCTTGCAATCATTTTGAGTCTAAATTGTGTGAATAGAGAATTAAGTGGTCTTTGTTGGTCATTGGGTTGTTCGACAGAACCTACGAATGCGATAATGTCTTGCGGCTGAGGTAAGAGATGGCAATCAGGAAAGTGGGAAATGGGTATTTTACAAATTCCATTGTAATCAGCGTTAGCCACAGGTTACAACGTTATGGACCAATATTCAACAGTGTCCGGAGTTGTGCCTTCAAACCGAGGAAACCCATGCATTTGGTTTGTACCTCGACTTGTTGCGCACCAACCCCCAACGGCCATTTATCTTGAGCGCAAAATGAAAGTTACAACCAAAATGAAAGGCAAGATATGCAGAAAATAAACTTTGCACCAAAAAAGGAAGGTGATGTAGCCGTCCATAGTCGGTCCTCCAGCAGCAAAATTTGGACGGGCACGAACAAGGTTATCAGAACAGCAAACAAAACAGGGAAATAAGAAATGGCATCAGATTATCTCGTCTTCTCGAGTTTGTTTACTGCTCCTTTATATACTGCTCTCCGTCCATAATATCATTCTTGCCTCACTTGATGGAAGCATGGTTTTATGGCTGTGTGAACTCTTTTTGTACAGAGAAATATCCGGTAAAAGTGGGCTCTCTTAACTATACTATACTTAACTATACTTCAAGAAAAAGGAAAATAGATGGTATGATAAGCGTTACAGGAAGCAAGACAAAACTTACTTGGAAAATGTGCGATTAGGGCATTTAGGGATTTTTGTAATTTAAAAAATATTAGCTTTAGTTGTAACTTGTTCTTAAGCCTTGTTAGCGATTCACCTTAGCCTATGAATCAGCTGTTCCTCCCGCAATCTTGCTAATAGCTTTGCCTGGTGTTTTGTAAATCACTGCCACGCTGTCACTTATCAACATTCAAACATTAGCCATTTCTCAATCAGCTCCTTCCAATCAGCCACTTCTTCCTGCACGCGAGGACTAGTCTTGGTGCCCTTACAATACTCACTTCCATATCCTGAATTGGAGGTCTCGCCAATGCGCTCCTACGCACAGCTGTTACTATTTATTATGTGCCACATGATGGTATCAGCATGCCACCCAAGGTTCCTGCTACTACGCCTTATCCTTCGTGTGCCATACACCGCACTCACCAGACATCCCGCCAGTAACATCATCGTATTGTGTATATCCGCAAATGCCATGAGCAACGATAGCATCAGAAACCCGCGACGATAGTCTCGCGCTTCCTTCTTGCCATAATAGTACCATGCCGCACACACCGTCCCAGTTGGAATCCATTTATTCAATCCACTGAACCACACTGTGGTCAAAACTGATCCATACACTAGCAAGTCACCTTTCATGTTCCCATAGGTCAGACATTCAAGAACTGCCGCCTCTATCCCAACCTGTGTCGGCCATGCAAAAGTTCCACGCAACCACGCCAACAACAAAATGCCCGTTATGACAGCCACACTCAACTGCCCCGCCACTGCGCTCCCAAATGACCAGGCCCCCTATCACTATTGGCGCTAATGCTTCAAATGTAGGGGCGACAAGCCCAATCACAAAATGGAATCCCTTGGCAACTGCATTGCCAATCCAATTC